GCCCAAGGCAGGGGAATGCGGATGCGGGATGCAATCAAATGTGCGTGGCTGACCTCTGGTGCGGGCGAGTCGGCCGCAAAGACTCGGCGCACGCTCAGCCGAGCGGCCGAAGACAACCGAAGCGAGGCAACCAACCTGTGTTCTCGATATCTCTCGATCGTAGTGCAGCGCTTTGAAGTTTGGGTTTCCGGAGCCCTCCTTTGCGTTAAGGGGAGGGTGTTTAACTATCCGCGGAAGGTTTCGGACAGTGGCATGAGAAGCCATTGAAATAGTCCTGTTGTCTTGGAGCTGACAATGTCGTGCTTCTGCTGGAAGCACGACACTGTCGGCTCCAGGGCGACAGGACTGCTTGAGCCAAGTGTCCAAGCAAGCACAAGCGGCTTCCGACGCCACGATTTTATGTTCAAATAAGACATGAAAGCCATGACGTCGAAAGTCGGCTGCAAGAAGTTTCAGGGAGGACTTCCTTCTGAGCTGCCAGCAAAGGCTACTCTCCTTGAAGCCAAGCTTTCCGCGAGTGATGAGTTGCGTGACGAATGACATATGTCATGCATCATGCTCACCAGTCCGGAGCTTAGACTTGGGCTCTGTGCAGAACTGGGGAAGTTTCTAGTGGCAGTCAGAAAGCTTGCTGCCGACAGCCTGTGGCCTTGTCCATGCCCGGGTGGCATGACCTGAAACGGATTATTGCAAAGAAGTGGGATTTGGAAGGAGCTCAAGAAGACGAACGAAGCAAAGACTTGCTTTGCGACTGCAGGATGGCTGAGTTCGGTACACAGGGGGCGAGCAGGAGCTGATGATGATCATGAGCTAGAAGAATGGCCATGGCGGTGGGCATTAGGAAGCCCTGCTGCCCGTGTGAGGCTCGCATGCCTTACACTGGCGCTGTTTCTCGATCTTTCCTAGTGAGTTGTGGTGTCAAGTCAGAAAGAGATCCTTCCAAGCCCGCCCGCCAGCGCGATCCCTTCGAGATGTTCAAGGTGCCCACGAGGCCCCCGCCAAGCAACTTTCAGCGGGACGCATCTGATCAAGAGTTGTCCTTGCGGCTGAAGCGCAAAGAAAAGCTGTTGGGTTGCGTGGTGCAAGAGAAGGCTGCCTTGTGAGCTGGTCGGGCCAGCATGGCAGCAGACCGTTCAGTACCTGCAGCAGATGCTTGCTTCGACTTCTGGCTCAAGAAGTCCTGGTCATTTTGGAGCTGACAAGCGGCTTCCAAGGCAACGAGTTTTTATGTCGTGCTTTCAGGGCTTGGAGCCCTTTGTGGACGTCGCTGAAATGCTGCTCGGTCGAAAGGATTTTGATGGAGGATTTCCTTGCCTTGTGAGCTGCCAAGACAAAGGTTGTC